GGGGGCAAAATTTATTATGGTTTATAATGGCAAATGATACTTTGAATATTACATGTTAATAACTTGATTGGAATTATAACCTTGAGTTGACAGTTTGATACTTTGAAAATTTTGATCCAGCCCTACCCCCAAGGGCTGTAGGGTGGGGCTCTAAGGAGTCAGTGTGCTAAAATTTCTTCATTTTCTTTGTTTAGAATCAGAGGTGCTAGTTTCAAATACTTTTTAGTCTGAAATCTGTATGCTAGATATTGAATAAGGTGGTCTTATTGTTTTTTGTCACTTTGAATAATATTTCTGTTCATGTTAAAAACAAAATCAACTCACTGTATAAATATATCAGGTGACCGTTAAGGCCCATGGGCCTCTTGTTCAACATGTGTTTATGATGATGAAAATTTGCTTGATATATTATAAATAATCTGAAAAGGGAAAGTCAACCTTGAAGAATGAAAATAGATCTGTCAAAGGACTGCTACAGCCCTCATTGTTATGAACAAAGGACTGCTACAGCCTTCATTGTTATGAACAAAGGACTGCTACAGCCCTCATTGTTATAAACAACGGACTGCTACAGCCTTCATTGTTATGAACAAAAAGGGTGTGTTAACATATGATTCTGCTTCAAGATTTATTGATCAAACCTTTTTTTGTTTTAAAGCTATATAGCAGATTATGTTTGTATGCTTTTGATACTTACTCTTTCTTTACAGACAAAAGAAGTAGAACTTTTTTCTTCATCTGAAGAGACAATAGCAGACCCAATGTATGGCCTGGTCATGGCGGTATGTATCTGTATAAATCGCTACATTAGTATCTTATTTTATCCTTAGCTCATTAAGTTTACAAGGAAAGACCAGTTGAGTGCATGTAAATTGAATAAATGGCAAAGCCATCTATGATAACTTTTCTTGTGCTCAATTGCAGTTTTCTTCTCATGACCTCACAAAAATAAAAAGCTATTCTTTATATTAACAGTATATTTCTATGAGTGGTTCATAACTATTTTGTTCATTAATCTAATCAGCGGACACCAATTTTTTTTCCAAACCCTATTAACATAAGAGCAGATCAGTATATCGGTAATACATGTACTGTAGATGATATTAGGTCGACTTTGTACTAGAACTAACTTACAGGATGGAGATTTTGCATAGTGTTTTTTTTTTTATCCCTACAGGATTTGTTCAAAGTTGGTCCTGGCTATGAATTATTAAAGCAAGGCAGTGTGCTACAGACAGGCCAGAAGACGGGGTCTCTTGTAGACAGTGAGTTTTACAAGAAATTCTACTTACTGATGATGGTCAAAGTACATAATATTAATTTTTGATGGTCAAACTTTACATAACACAACTTACTGATTTACTTATTTATAGAAAAACTTTATATGACACAAGTTATTGATAATCAACCTTTACTACAAAACACAAATTATTGAGGTAAAAAAAGCGCTACTTACCTATGATCAAACTTAAACAGTCTGCTTATTGAGGGGCAAACTTAACACACTATATTAAGTGATAGTTAAACTGTACACAACAAGTAGTGTTGTTGAAATAACTTTACTTTAAATTTAACAATTAATAACACATTTTGTTAACTTTCCAGGTAAAGGAAGGGGAACAAAGAGGAAAGCTCCTGATAGTATACAGCCGGTCGGATCACGACTTAAGAGAAGGTGCATTTTCAATATAAAAAAAATCATAAATCTCAGACTGGTGTTTATTATGTTGGATGTGTATCTTTAAAATATCTTAATGAAACACAATGAGTACTTCACCCATTGAAGGTGCACTGTAATTTGGTTACTGTATTCTTGATTCCGAGGTCAAAGGTCAGTTAAGTCCTACATTTGTAGTGAAATCCTGTTCATAACTTTTGAACAACAGAAAGTGACAAACTGATGGTTTTTGAGGTGTTCCTGCTTATCTGCTTGACATTTGCAGTGCACTGTATTTAGGTCACTGTGATCCTAACCTCAAGGTCAAAGGTCAAATATGCAAACCTAGTGCAAATCTTAAATAGACCATTACTTTTAAACTATTAAAAACATCTTACTGAAACTTGAAGTGTACCTGCATCATCCAACAACAAAATTATTATTTTGACTATAAGGAATTCCATAACAACTGTATTACAGATGATGATTTCTCCACTGTTTGCATTATCATGTAGTGATTATAAAAATCTGTAATTGAGTGAAATAATTCAACCTATATTCAGTATTTTACTGATTTCAAGTGATTACTGAGATAGCAATAATTTTATTGAACATAATTTGTCTAAAATTTATCTCAGATTACTGGGTAGTAATGTGTTTTATGATGTAAGAACTACTGCTTATGTCTGACTAAGGTGTCTGTAATTCGTCAATAGCCTGTAAACATGTCATGGTTTTTACTGTGTTTTCCAGTGATGTAAACACCATGGCCAAACTGGCCCCCCATGGCTACCCTCTAGAGCACCCCTTTAACAAGGATGGGTACCGCTACATCCTGGCTGAGTCTGATCCCCACGCTCCAAACAGACAAGCTTTCGATGAAAGTCTAGACTGGGCAGGAAAACCTATCCCGGGATACCTGTACAGGACCTTCCTCGGAGCAGAGGTTCTCATCGCACTCAATGACAGAGGTACACAGATCTATAGACTGGCTATTATACTGCATTATTTAGTACAGTGCTTAAGTAATGAACAGGTGGTAGTGCTAAATTACACACTAATTTCAAAATCAAGCTAAACAGTTAATATTAAAATAATTCTACTGTAAGTAAAAGGTTTATGTGTGTGGGAAAAATAATCTGGAAAAAAGGAAATAGCCTGTAATAAGTATAGCTTATACAAAATAATGTAATACTCATTATTGTTCTTGTTGTATACAGCTCCTCAGTTGAAAGTGTCAGAAGACAGGCTGTCAGTGACGGGAGATAAGGGCTACAGTCTTATCAGGGCAACACATGGTAAATACTGTACTAATTTAGTAACATATTTATATACACAGCCTCCTCAGGGCCACACACGGTAAATACTGTACTAATTTAGTAACACATTTATATCCACAGCCCCCTCAGGGCAACACATGGTAAATTCTGTACTAATTTAGTAACATATTTATATCCGCAGCCTCCTCAGGGCAACACATGGTAAATACTGTACTAATTTAGTAACCTATTTATATACACAGCCTCCTCAGGGCAACACACGGTAAATACTGTACTAATTTAGTAACATATTTATATGCACAGCTTCCTCAGGGCAACACATGGTAAATACTGTACTAATTTAGTAACATATTTATATACACAGCCTCATCAGGGCAACACATGGTAAATACTGTACTAATTTAGTAACACATTTATATACACAGCCTCCTCAGGGCAACACATGGTAAATACTGTACTAATTTAGTAAAATATTTATATACACAGCCTCCTCAGGGCAACACACGGTAAATTCTGTGCTAATTTAGTAACCTATTTATATACGCAGCCTCCTCAGAGCCACACACGGTAAATACATACTAATTTAGTTACAGGTTTATTTCTCCCACAACCACTGTAGGTTTCCTCACTCATGACTCATTGGATAAACCTGCTAGGAGTTTGTCACCATTTTTGGGTAACACGTCGCCCTGGACATGATTTCATTGGTCAACCTTTGATTGATGACGTCATGTCAAAATGCTTTCGACGCCATTTTCCATTGTGACGTCATGTTCCATGGCAATTGTTTCCCCCATCGGAAAACCACAAGAAGTATTTTCCAAGGGGAAAATGTGGGTTTTCAGATCAATACGAACGTTATGGGAGAAACCGGTCCCCAAACTAGTGATGATTAGTTATCACGTTTATCTATCTCTCATTAGTTAATTTTCAAATTGTAAAAGACACTCGGTAAACCTCATTTATACAATTTGAAGATTAACTAACTCGAATTTAGATAAACAGGATAACCAACCATCACTCGTTGGAGAACCTCTATAAAACCACTCTTTGTTTTCCTACAGGAGTGAGGCGTGGTGCATGGTACTACGAGGTCCTGATCGAGGAGATGCCTGCTGATACAGCTTCAAGGATCGGCTGGTCACAAGAACTAGGTAATTGTCCCAAGGATCGGCTGATCGCACGAATAAGGTATTTGTCCCTGGATCAGCTGGTCACAAGAGCTAGGTATTTGTCCTAAGGAGCAGCTGGTCATGAGAACTAGGTATTTGTCCCAGGATCGGCTGGTCACAAGAACTAGGTATTTGTGCCAAGGATCAGCTGGTCACAAGAATTAGGTATTTGTGCCAAGGATCAGCTGGTCACAAGAACTAGGTATTTGTCCCAGGATCGGCTGGTCACAAGAACTAGGTATTTGTGCAAAGGATCAGCTGGTCACAAGAACTAGGTATTTGTCCCAGGATCAGCTGGTCACAAGAATTAGGTATTTGTCCCAGGATCAGCTGGTCACAAGAATTAGGTATTTGTGCCAAGGATCAGCTGGTCACAAGAATTAGGTATTTGTGCCTAGGAGCAGCTGGTCACAAGAATTAGGTATTTGTCCTAAGGATCAGCTGGTCACAAGAATTAGGTATTTGTCCCAGGATCAGCTGGTCACAAGAATTAGGTATTTGTCCCAGGATCAGCTGGTCACAAGAATTAGGTATTTGTCCTAAGGATATAAAAATATGATTTCCCCAAACCCAGATATTCGTTATTCTGCTCCCACCTGGTTAGTACAATACGATGTCAAACTAACGGTGGATTCACCGTGCGATTCACCGAGTACATTGTATGGTATATTGATCTGTACCCCACAAGTTTGAATTAGCAGGGTTGAACTGATTTTGACTCCCTCTTTAGGCAATATGTTGATTCCTTTCTATGTTACTTGTCTGTTCTAGGTAATCTACAGGCACCAGTTGGCTATGATAAGTTCAGCTACTCTTGGCGTTCAAGCAAGGGAACCAAGTTCCACCAGAGTCGAGGTAAACACTACAGCAGCTCTGGGTATGTGGAGGGCGACGTTATAGGGTTCTTTATACACATGCCCGAGCCAGAGGATGCCAGGAAAACCTTACCTCAGACGTACAAAGACAGGGTAAGGCTCATTTTAACCATCTCTATAATGCAAACACACCTTAGCTGGAACTGTGGAGACTGCTCTGATAACGTCTTTGTCGTGTGCGACAAACTTTTTCATCTCTATGAATTACGACAATGGAGTCTTACTTGTTTAATCTGTTGATCAAAAGTTAAAGTTTGTATCTATACTAAAGCTAAATGGGGAGGGGGTACAGTTTTTATGATGTCCATCTGTCTGTAATGTTTGTATCTATACTAAATAGGGAGGGGGGACAGTTTTTATGATGTCCATGTGTCTGTAATGTTTGTATCTTTACTAAATAGGGAGGGGGTACAGTTTTTATGATGTCCATCTGTCTTTAATGTTTGTATCTATACTTAATAGGGAGGGGCACAGTTTTTATGATGTCCATCTGTCTTTAATGTTTGTATCTATACTTAATAGGGGGGGGTACAGTTTTTATGATGTCCATGCGTCTGTAATGTTTGTATCTATACTAAATAGGGAGGGAGTATAGTTTTTATGATGTCCATGTGTCTGTAATGTTTGTATCTATACCAAATAGGGAGGGGGTACAGTTTTTATGATGTCCATGTGTCTCTAATGTTTGTATCTATACTAAATAGGGAGGGGGGACAGTTTTTATGATGTCCATGTGTCTGTAATGTTTGTAGCATACTAAATAGGGAGGGGGTACAGGTTTTATGATGTCCATGTGTCTGTAATGTTTGTATCTACACTAAATAGGGAGGGGTACAGTTTTTATGTTGTCCATCTGTCTGTAATGTTTGTATCTATACCAAATAGGGAGGGGGTACAGTTTTTATGATGTCCATGTGTCTCTAATGTTTGTATCTATACTAAATAGGGAGGGGGGACAGTTTTTATGATGTCCATGTGTCTGTAATTTTTGTATCTATACTAAATAGGGAGGGGTACAGGTTTTATGATGTCCATGTGTCTGTAATGTTTGTATCCATACTAAACAGGGAGGGGTACAGTTTTTATGATGTCCATGTATCTGTAATGTTTGTATCTATACTAAATAGGGAGGGGGGACAGTTTTTATGATGTCCATGTGTCTGTAATTTTTGTATCTATACTAAATAGGGAGGGGTACAGGTTTTATGATGTCCATGTGTCTGTAATGTTTGTATTTATACTAAATAGGGAGGGGGTACAGTTTTTATGATGTCCATGTGTCTGTAAGGTTTGTATCTTTACTAAATAGGGAGGGGGTACAGTTTTTATGATGTCCATGTGTCTCTAATGTTTGTATCTATACTAAATAGGGAGGGAGTATAGTTTTTATGATGTCCATGTGTCTGTAATGTTTGTAGCATACTAAATAGGGAGGGGGTACAGGTTTTATGATGTCCATGTGTCTGTAATGTTTGTATTTATACTAAATAGGGAGGGGTACAGTTTTTATGATGTCCATCTGTCTTTAATGTTTGTATCTATACTTAATAGGGAGGGGTACAGTTTTTATGATGTCCATTTAATTGATTTAATTGAAAAATAATGGAAGCAGGCTGAAAGCCTCAAAGTCCATATCACAAAACAGTATAAAAATATTGTATTGTCACTGGTTAACATATATAAACTTTCCCAAAAGAGTTATTTTAAAGGTCATTATCAGTAATTATTGTAAATAGTGTCCTTCAGATGGTTATCCAACAGGATCTCAAAGTCCTTCGTGGTTTCTGCATTTACAACCGATTCCGGTAGACCGTTCCAGATATCAACTACCCTAAACGTGAACGAGTTTTTCCTTAGCTCTGTATTACATCGTTGTTTATACAGCTTAAATTTATGTCCTCATGTTCTTTCGTTATTATCGTAGACAAATATGTCTGACGTGACTTTCTCATCAAACTTCCTCTTCACAATCTTGAAAACGTTAATCAAATCACCTCTAGTCCTTCGGTGTTTTAGTGTCGGTAGTTTTAATTTTTCTAAACGTTCTTCGTAGGAGATTTCTTTAAATCCAGGTAGAAGCTTAGTGGCTCTCCGTTGTACATTCTCTATCATCTGGATATCTTTAAGTTTATACGGACTCCACGCACTGGCTGCGTTTTCTAGATGCGGTCTTACCAGAGCCTTAAATAACTGTCTAAAAATCGATTCGTCCAAAAAAGTAAATGATCTTCTAATAATCCCGAGTACTGAATTAGCTTTATTTATTGAGTTTTGAATGTGGGTCCGAAAGTCCAGGTTTGCATCCACCGTTACTCCTAAATCTTTTTCACTGTTGATTTTGTCAAGTACGACTTCTCCAGTTTTGCTCGCGAGACGGTATGTTCTATTATTGTTTGGTGATCCTTTAACTTGAAGAACATTGCATTTATTTGGATGAAATTTCAGAAGCCAATCATCAGACCATTTTTGAAGATTATTCAAATCTGCTTGTAGAATTTCCTTATCCTCATCAGTTCGTATTTTGCGGTATAATTTAGTATCATCCGCGAATTGAGAGCATGATGACGCAGTGTTCTCGGGCATGTCATTGATATGCATAACAAATAGTATTGGTCCTAAAACACTCCCCTGAGGAATTCTGCTTAAGACGTTCTGTAATTTGGATGTAGATCCGTTAACCACTACTTTTTGATGTCTATCACTTAAAAAGTTTTCTATCCATTTAACAGTTTTCGCGCTGATTCCATAATTATATAGCTTGTGTTTAGACGGCGATGGGGTACCTTGTCGAAAGCTTTCATAAAATCCATATAAATGAGATCAATTTCTCCTCCCGTATCCAACATATGAGTCCACTCATCTAGGACGATTAACATTTGAAGTGTTGTTGATCTTCCGGGCATCAGTTTTTGTGATGTCCATGTGTCTGTAATGTTTGTATCTACACTAAATAGGGAGGGGTACAGTTTTTATGATGTCCATCTGTCTGTAATGTTTGTATCTATACTAAATAGGGAGGGGTACAGTTTTTATGATGTCCATGTGTCTGTAATGTTTGTATCTATACTAAATAGGGAGGGGGTACAGTTTTTATGATGTCCATCTTTCTGTAATGTTTGTATCTATACTAAATAGGGAGGGGTACAGTTTTTATGTTTCCATGTGTCTGTAAAGTTTATATCTATACTAAATAGGGAGGGGTACAGTTTTTATGATGTCCATGTGTCTGTAATGTTTGTATCTATACTAAATAGGGATGGGGTACAGTTTTTATGATGTCCATCTTTCTGTAATGTTTGTATCTATACTAAATAGGGAGGGGTACATTTTTAGCCCACCATCAGGTGGGCTATTCAAATCACCCTGCGTCCGTGGTCCGCGTCCGTCCGTAAACAACGGTATTTCTCAAGAAGTACCAGAGGGATCTTTCTAAAATTTAATATGCAGGTTCCCCTTGGTCCTTAGCTGTGCAGGGCAACTTTTGAGACTGATCGGATAAACAACATGGCCGACAGGCAGCCATCTTGGATTTTGATAGTGAAAGTTTCTTATCGCTATTTCTCAAGAAGTACCAGAGGGATCTTTCTCAAATTTTATATGTAGGTTCCTACTGTACATCTGTATCTAAGGGTGGTCTAACGGCCATCAGTGCTGCTGTACATCTGTATGTAAGGGTGGTCTTATAGCCATCAGTGCTGCTGTACCTCTGTATGTAAGGGTGGTCTTACAGACATCAGTGATGCTGTACATCTGTATGTAAGGGTGGTCTAACGGTCATCAGTGCTGCTGTACATCTGTATGTAAGGGTGGTCTAACAGCCATCAGTGCTACTGTACATCTGTATGTAAGGGTGGTCTTACAGCCGTCAGTGCTGTTGTACATCTGTATGTAAGGGTGGTCTAACAGACATCAGTGATGCTGTACATCTGTATGTAAGGGGGCTTACAGACATCAGTGATGCTGTACATCTGTATGTAAGGGTGGTCTAACAGCCATCAGTGCTGCTGTACATCTGTATGTAAGGGTGGTCTTACAGCCGTCAGTGCTGTTGTACATCTGTATGTAAGGGTGGTCTAACAGACATCAGTGATGCTGTACATCTGTATGTAAGGGGGCTTACAGACATCAGTGATGCTGTACATCTGTATGTAAGGGTGGTCTAACAGCCATCAGTGCTGCTGTACATCTGTATGTAAGGGTGGTCTTACAGCCGTCAGTGCTGTTGTACATCTGTATGTAAGGGTGGTCTAACAGACATCAGTGATGCTGTACATCTGTATGTAAGGGGGCTTACAGACATCAGTGATGCTGTACATCTGTATGTAAGGGTGGTCTAACAGCCATCAGTGCTGCTGTACATCTGTATGTAAGGGTGGTCTTACAGCCATCAGTGCTACTGTACATCTGTATGTAAGGGTGGTCTTACAGCCGTCAGTGCTGTTGTACATCTGTATGAAAGTTAAGGGCCTTACAGCTATCAGTGCTGCTGTACTTCTGTATGTTAGGGGGTTACATCTATCAGTGCTGCTGTACAGCTGTATGTAAGAGGACTTACAGCTATCAGTGCTGCTGTATATCTGTATGTTAGGGGGCTTACAGCCATTAGTGCTGCTGGCCATCTGTATGTAAGGGGGCTTACAGACATCAGTGCTGCTATACATCTGTATGTATGGGGGCTTACAGACATCAGTGCTGCTATACATCTGTATGTAAGAGGGTTTACAGCTACCAGTGCTGCTGTACATCTGTATGTAAGGGGGCTAACAGACATCAGTGCTGCTATACATCTGTATGTAAGGGGGCTTACAGACATCAGTGCTGCTGTACATATGTATGTAAGAGGGCTTACAGCTATTGGCCACAGTGGCCAAGTGGTCAAGGCGTCTGACATTCCGCTACCACTAGCCCTCCACCACTGGGTCGTGGGTTCTAGACCTAAGTGGGGCAGTCGCAAGGTAATGGCCATTGGTCGGTGGTTTTTCTCCGGTAACTCCGGCTTTCCTCCACCATCAAAACCTGGAATGTCCTTAAATGACCATAGCTGTTAATAGGATGTAACACACAAACAACCCAAGCTATCAGTGCTGCTGTACCTCTGTATGTAAGGGTGGTCTTACAGCCATCAGTGATGCTGTACATCTGTATCTAAGGGTGGTCTTACAGCCATCAGTGCTGCTGTACCTCTGTATGTAAGGGTGGTCTTACAGCCATCAGTGCTGCTGTACCTCTGTATGTAAGGATGGTCTTACAGCCATCAGTGATGCTGTACATCTGTATGTAAGAGGGTTTACAGCTATCAGTGCTGCTGTACATCTGTATGTAAGGGTGGTCTTACAGCCATCAGTGATGCTGTACCTCTGTATGTAAGGATGGTCTTACATCCATCAGTGATGCTGTACATCTGTATGTAAGGATGGTCTTACAGCCATCAGTGATGCTGTCCCTCTGTATGTAAGGATGGTCTTACAGCCATCAGTGATGCTGTACCTCTGTATGTAAGGGTGGTTTTACAGCCATCAGTGATGCTGTACCTCTGTATGTAAGGGTGGTCTTACAGACATCAGTGCTGCTGTACCTCTGTATGTAAGGATGGTCTTACAGCCATCAGTGATGCTGTACATCTGTATGTAAGGATGGTCTTACAACCATCAGTACTGCTACGGATGTTCAGCACTATTGATGGCTGTCAGCCGACTTTTATACAGAGGTACGATACTGATGGGTGCAAGGCCATTAATGTATTAGACAACTTTGAAACAGAAAACATACTGGTATCATGTGACAAAATATTTTAATTTTACATAAACCACCTGTTACAAAAATATCAATAAATTTTAACAGCAAGTAAACATTTAACGATGCGTGATTGAGTGACACACACTTGATCTGAGAATCTTGTTCGGCACATGAGGGGTAGGTTACAGATACTCTAGAAATGGTTTTGATCAGTGTTATTGTCACTGTTTAACGGACACAAAGCTGCAGTGTAGAATTTACAGCTGTTCTATGACGGTGATAATCATGTTACTGATCCTTGACGTGAAATGTTCTTTATCATGTTGAATTCCAAGCATTTACTGCTGTCAATACTTCAGTAACCTATTACCATGCATATGTTTAATTTGTTTTATCTTATCACTCTTTCAAACAATGATTGTCTTGTTAAAAACGATTTAGTATAAAGTGGATTACAATCTGTTAACAATCTGTTTAGAGTCTGTTTTCTGTGGTTTGATAGACACTGATTTACCTATACGTCAACAATCTTAGTTTCCTTGAAGGAACCATGAGATAACGAATGATTTAAACAAGGATTTAGACATCTGAATGTATACCTTAGTGATAAACTGCTAAGACATTTCCTCAAGAATGTGTCACTTATTGGAAAACATATCGGCATACAAAACAATATTGCATCATTATTTGCTAAACTAATTCAACATATTAATCTTGCTAAACATTTTAACATGTAACTAAAGAGTAACACACAGACATAATATCTAATTGTAGCATGTATAATGAACAGTTTGATTATGGGAACACCTTAATCATGGTTTCATCAGAAATCAATTCTAAAATTTGGCATTGTGTATAAATCTTATCATCACATTTGTGTGACTGTGCAATCTAATTAATTCTGATTCTAAAAATACCAATCATTTGTGCACTGATTGCTCATTTCCAGGAATTCACATCTCGAACAGCAATAATCTTTATTCTTCCAGATTGTACTTTAATAGTGACTTCACAAGTTACTGTATGGTATGATTAAACAAGTCTATCATCACATTAAACTGGTGACATTGATTGAGGCAATGACAAATGTTCAGACCAACAGCTTACATATTTATGATAACCTGCTGGACACTTAGGAAATTGCTTTCAGATATGTTATAAGTTAATACACAGTTGCACTGAGGATATACAAAATAGACTGCCTTAATTATTTAGATTTATACAAGTACCGTAACTTCCTGCTCACTAAAAATCCCACCATTCGCCACATTAACAGATTACCGGTAATCAGATCACGAAAATAAGTACTTTCTGCATATAGGTAAATTTGTCTGCTTATCTGGGCTGAAATACCTAACTTCTATGGCAGATTAACTTTTCAAAACTGATTATTACTATTCAAATATTTTAGTCAGTATTGAAAAAGACTGTGATTAATTTTTGTTGTTTCTGTATACAAATAAAAGCCCTGTCATAAACAGATTGATTAGTAAAGCCTTCTATTAAGTCTGGGGGAGAAGGAACGAGCCTTCTATTAAGTCTGGGGGAGAAGGAACCAGTCTTCTATTAAGTCTAGGGGAGAAGGAACCAGTCTTCTATTAAGTCTGGGGGAGAAGGAACGAGTCTTCTATTAAGTCTGGGGGAGAAGGAACCAGTCTTCTATTAAGTCTGGGGGAGAAGGAACGAGTCTTCTATGAAGTCGGGGGGAGAAGGAACGAGCCTTCTATTAAGTCTTGGGGAGAAGGAACGAGTCTTCTATTAAGTCAGGGGGAGAAGGAACGAGCCTTCTATTAAGTCTGGGGGAGAAGGAACGAGCCTTTTATTAAGCCTGGGGAGAAGGAACCAGTCTTCTATTAAGTCTGGTGGAGAAGGAACGAGTCTTCTATTAAGTCTGGGGGGGAAGGAACGAGTCTTCTATTAAGTCTGGGGGAGAAGGAAGGAGCCTTCTATTAGGTCTGGGGGAGAAGGAACGAGCCTTCTATTAAGTCTGGGGGAGAAGGAGCATGTTATAGTTAGGATGACTTAACCCTCTTGTTTACTTATACTGGTCAATTGACAAAGAATCGTTTTATGAATAGAAAAGATTGCTAGCAAGGAATACACAAGTTACAACAATTCTTTAATTGATTACATAGACAATGCTGGGTTACATATTATCTTCATTATTGTACAGCGTTAATTTAGAGATATGTTGGCATATTATGCAGATACTTTAGCAAAACGATTGCTTTTGTGTAAAAAATGGAGCTCTATCTGCTGATATAGTCAACTAGTAGGTACAAAAATAGGTTTTCACTCTTTCAATTAAACTTCCTGTCACAAATCGTCAGCCTTCTGAAAAAGAAAAAGAATATTTTCATTAAGTTCATAACAACAGAAATAGTTTCAGAAATGTAAGTTGTGTGATGTTTGTCCTCTTTAGTAGGATTTACAAGTAATAAATTATACAATATGTAAAAGGATAGACTAGACGCTACAACCTGAATACATTGTCTCCCTTCTCTTTGATTATGTAAAGACTTTGTTGGGATTACAGATTGTCTCCCTTCTTTTTGATTATGTACAGACTTTGTTGAGATTACAGATTGCCTCCCTTCTCTTTGATTATATGTACGGACTTTGTTGGGATTACAGATTGTCTCCCTTCTTTTTGATTATGTACAGACTTTGTTGAGATTACAGATTGTCTCCCTTCTCTTTGATTATATGTACAGACTTTGTTGGGATTACAAATTGTCTCCCTTCTCTTTGATTATGTACAGACTTTGTTGGGTTTACAGATTGTCTCCCTTTTCTTTGATTATGTACAGACTTTGTTGAGATTACAGATTGTCTCCCTTCTCTTTGATTATGCACAGACTTTGTTGGGATTACAGATTGTATGCCTGGATTACACAAGTAACTAGTTTATCTGTTTTAAAGTCTGACAATGTCTCAAGCTTTGTGTTGGTCATCTGATTGTTGTTTACTAACCTCTTTGTCAGGGGACTGTTTCTTGAGTCTTTCTGATAAAGCTGCAACAAAGAAATTAAGAAATAGTTATTAAAAATATTTGATTGCCAAAGAACATCACATGATTAGTTGTGATTTTATTGTTAAAGGGATATTTAATTGTTTAGTATTGCATGTTATTATAGAGAATGTTAACAATATTGCATCTATTTAGTATATAGGAGGTAGGTTGGTATTGATGTAATTATAAAAGTGTTTCATGAAATATCTATTAAGTAAATAGGAGGTAAGTTGATATTTATTTATTTGTCAGAATGTTTAATGAAATGTGTGTTTAGTATATAGGATTAACCAGGTTTTGATCCCTGTGGTAATTTACCCTTCATGAGTTGGTCGTCCCGGATCGGTTTGGGACTAGGTTTAGGGCTAGGCCTGGGACTGCCTTTTATGACCTCATGAGTGCTCTTCGGTCGCTCTGTATAGACACAACACAGACTTACTTCAGATGTTAATTTTATAGTGAAAACATACTAATTAGACTAAATTTACATATTGATACTAGATTATTGAAAATCAATCTACCTTGCCCCTATTCTTATTCTATTTAATGCCAATTGCAACATTACAGCTTCTCATGAAAGGGAGATAATTCGTGTTGAACTGTTGTCACTCACCTGTAGTTGGGACGTCCTTTTCAGGACTGTGGACTGGCGTTGATCCTGTTGATCTCCGTTTGGCTGTGGGGTCAATTTGTAAGAATATATTGCCTGAAGTGTCTATATTGGACTGTGACACAGGACAAGAGTCTGAGGAAGGATTGTTTTTGGTTGTATTGGAAGTCACAAACTCCTTAGTACCACTTTTTACCACTGATTTATCTATCACAGATTCCAGTAACTTCTGTTTCTCCTCCCGGGTTTTAGAATCATCACTTTCCTTAGAATTCAGAAGTGGACTTGTTACCCCTTTTTCCTCCGTCTTTTCTTCAATCTGTGGAGGAAATCAACAATTTGTTACTGATGTTTGTTCAGGTAACCTGATATACCTTTGCCTTCAGAGATTTTCCGTACAGTATGTGTATATACGACAGATAAAATATGTTTTACCCTGTCATGAATTGGTGTTAAGGCAAATAGTAGCATACTGGGTTAGGACTACAGTGGCTCACTACAGTGGACAGAGCCACTTACCATACTGGATTAGGACTACAGGGGACAGAGCCACTTACCATACTGGGTTAGAACTACAGTGGAAAGAGCCACTTACCATGCTGGGTTAGGACTACAGTGGTCAGAGCCACTTACCATACTGGGTTAGGACTACATCGGACAGAACCACTTACCATACTGGGTTAGGACTACACTGGACAGAGCCACTTACCATACTGGGTTAGGACAACAGTGGACAGAGCCACTTACCATACTGGGTTAGGAATACAGTGGATATAGCCACTTACCATACTGGGTTAGGAATACAGTGGATATAGCCACTTACCATACTGGGTTAGGACTACATCGGACAGAACCACTTACCATACTGGGTTAGGACTACAGTGGCCAGAGCCACTTACCATACTGGATTAGGACTACAGGGGACAGAGCCACTTACCATACTGGGTTAGGACAACAGTGGACAGAGCCACTTACCATACTGGGTAAGGACTACAGTGGACAGAGCCACTTACCATACCGGATTAGGACAACAGTGGACAGAGCCACTTACCATACTGGGTTGGGACTACAGTGGACAGAGCCACTTACCATACCGGATTAGGACAACAGTGGACAGAGCCACTTACCATACTGGGTTGGGACTACAGTGGACAGAGCCACTTACCATACTGGGTTAGGACTACAGGGGACAGAGCCACTTACCATACTGGGTTAGGACAACAGTGGACAGAGCCACTTACCATACTGGATTAGGACTACAGGGGACAGAGCCACTTACCATACTGGGTTAGAACTACAGTGGACAGAGCCACTTACCATACTGGGTTAGGACTACATCGGACAGAACCACTTACCATACTGGGTTAGGACTACAGTGGATATAGCCACTTACCATACTGGGTTAGGACTACAGTGGACAGAGCCACTTACCATACTGGGTAAGGACTACAGTGGACAGAGTCACTTACCATACTGGGTTAGGACTACTTACTGTACTGACAGGTTTAGGGGCCGGGCTATTTGTTGACTACTTACCGTACTGACAGGTTTAGGGGCCGGGCTATTTGTTGCCCTGGCCCTACGTCCCCCTACAGCCTGTGAAGTCCTGTTTCGTGTCTTGGGTGCTGAGGCTTTCGTAAACTGGAAAGGTAGAATAGTAATTAAAACAATTTCTACTTATTAATACAGTAAATATAAGGGAGTCTTGTTAAACATGATACAAGCTTACTATCAAATGATACCAAGATATATAAAGATGGGAAACTGTAAAATAGTAACAAAAGCCTTACAGATGAAATGCTAGACCTTGAATGGTACAGATCTAAGTATGCTGGGTAGTTGTGTGTTCATTGCAATTTTAGCTGTTTCTTTCTAAATGCATGCAAGTCAAATAAGGCATGATACTTACTGATTTAAGGACATCACTTTCACGTTTGATGACAGCAAACTCATCGTCCTCATCTTCACTAGCGATGACTACATCTGGATTGTCTGGGTACAGGCGACTAGGGATAGAAAATACATACGTTTGAAATTGCAAAAAAAGTTCAAGAGGGATAAAAAAAATACAGAAAGAAAGAAAATTGTAACAAACAAAATTTAGTTGGTTGAAAAAATGTTGTTAATTTTTACAAAAATGTTAAACAAATGAAGAGTTTGGTAGAAAATTGAAGTTGATAAAAAGATGTCTGACAAAAAAATCTTACTTTTTTAGATAAATGTGATGTACCAGCACAGAATAATAGGTAAATGATATGTATGTATACCAAAACAGAATGTATTTGTACAGAATTATAGATAAATATGAAGTACCAGCACAGAATAATAGGTAAATGATATGTATGTATACCAAAACAGAATGTATTTGTACAGAACTATAGATAAATATGAAGTACCAGCACAGAATAATAGGTAAATGATATGTATGTATACAAAAACAGAATGTATTTGTACAGAATAATAGATAAATGTGAAATACCAGCACAGAATAATAGGTAAATGATATGTATCTATACCAAAACAGAATGTATTTGTACAGAATAATAGATAAATGTGAAGTACCAGCACAGAATAATAGGTAACTGATATGTATGTATACCAAAAAAGAATGTATTTGTACAGAATAATAGATAAATGTGAAATACCAGCACAGAATAATAGGTAAATGATATGTATGTATACCAAAACAGAATGTATTTGTACAGAATAATAGATAAATGTTATGTACCATTACAGAATATAAGATCAATGTTATTTACCAATACAGAATAATAGATTAATGTTATGTACCAGTACAGAATAATAGATTAATTTAATATTCATTAAGAAAAATGTAATGTATACATTATATTTTAAAAAGTTCAATATAGGATTACTGATGATACTTTAGTACAAAGGATGTTGTTCAAATCAAGGGAAGTAACTCTTCTATCTTTGTCACTTCAGTTGCAAGAAAAAAATTATACATACTCTTTACTGGGCTTGGGGCTCACTGCAGGTGACTTGGCAGGTTTGGGGCTCACTGCAGGGGATGTTTTTGTTGAGGATGGTGATTCGTCATTTCTCTCTTGATCCAATTCCTCCCCATCGCTTTCCTCAATGGTCACTTTAGGCTTAGGAGTTCTGCCCTGTAGGTAGTAGAAAGATGCAATATAAAGCAATGATTATAGCAGTAAGGAATGTTAGTGAATGCTTTACAGCAATAAGGAATGAAAAGGAAGGCTTACAGCAATTAGGCCTGTAAAAGGAGGCTTTACAGCAATAAGGAATGTAAAGGGAGGCTTTACACTAATAAGGAGGGTAAAGGAGGCTTACAGCAATATGGAGTGTAAAGGGAGGCTTACAGCAATAAGGCATGTAAAAGGAGGCTTTACAGCAATAAAGAGTGTAAAAGGAGGCTTTACAGCAATAAGGAGTGTAAAAGGAGGCTTTACAGCAATAAGGAGGGTAAATGGAGGCTTACAGCAATAAGGAGTGTAAAGGGAGGCTTACAGCAATACGGCATGTAAAAGGAGGCTTTACAGCAATAAGGAGTGTAAAAGGAGGCTTTACAGCAATAAGGAATGTAAATGGAGGCTTATCATTAATAAGAAATGTAAAGGGAGGCTTTATAGCAATAAGAAATGTAAAAGGGAAGCTTTACAGCAATAAGGAGTGTAAAGGGAGGCTTACAGCAATGAGGCATGTAAAGGGAGGCTTACAGCAATAAGGAATGTAAAGGGAGGCTTTACAGCAATAACAAATGTAAGGGAAGGTTTACAGCAATAAAGAAGTATAAGGGGAGGCTTTACAGCAATAAGGAATGTAAATGGAGGCTTTACAGCAATACAGAATGTAAAGGGAAGGTTTACAGCAATAAGGAATGTAAAGGGATGCTTTACAGCAATAAGGAGTGTAAAAGGAGGCATATAGCAATAAGGCATGTAAAGGGAGGCTTACAGCAATAAGGAATGTAAAGGGAGGCTTTACAGCAATAACAAATGTAAGGGAAGGTTTACAGCAATAAAGAAAAGAAAAAAGTATAAGGGGAGGCTTTACAGCAATAAAGAAGTGTAAGGGGAGGCTTTACAGCAATAAGGAATGTAAAGGAAAGGTTTACAGCAATAAAGAAGTGTAAGGGGAGGCTTTACAGCAATAAGGAATGTAAGGTAAAGTTTACAGTAATAAGTGAATGTAAGATAAGGCTTTACAGTAATAAAGAAATTATAAGAAAGAAGGTAAGTTAAGTCTTTACAGAAATCAGGAAATACATGTATATCTGATGTGGTGTGATATTCAGGTCATTATATAGATCATAAACCTTTTGTTTGAAGTGAAACGATTATTTTCATAAAGTGGGGTTCTTCTGTATGTGTGTAAATATATCCTCTCATAATGGTCACCATGTGTGTCAGGTGATTATCATACAAGGAAATAATAACAAGTCTGAGTGGTTTAAATAAATTCTTTATGAGTTGTATTACATTAGATTAATCTAAATAATGATTGAGTCATCTATGAAAAATGAGTTGATATACTAAAAGTGCTTTACAATATTTAATAGGATTTTCCGAAATGAATTTGTTAATTCACTATAACGCTGACCCAAGTTATAAAAAACCAATGTTACTGAGAAATGTACTGGTGTGTCTGTATGTAGTGTTACTAAATAGCAATGGAATGGTGTCATTCCCCCTGGCTCTAGCTTGTCCCATAAACAGGTAGAGACTGCTTATATTCAGCTTTTATCAAGGTGAACTAATAAAATCAGTGCTGGTATGCTACCTATTGATAAACCTTATATTAACATTCACATGTAAAACATGTGCTCGACAAAACTTGCTGAATTTGTCATGGGACTGCCTAGTAATTATATGATTTCATTTCAAATCGTTACTTAATTTAAAATACTGAAAGATAACCTCAGGTGGATTTAAATAAGGTGAGACACGCTTTGTAAGTCTTGTTGATGCTTTACACGTGTAGCAGTATTTGGTTTCAGTGTAAGCCTGTACTACTGTTAGTTGGGGCACTGTTCTGTATTAATCCAGTAAACCTTGTATTATCCCTGAGGACAGCAGGGTTTGGGTGGACAGAACTCGGTGGCTCCTGATTCTATAAGGAAACATTAGGTGGTTAATGCTGTACAAGCCTCTAGTACCTCGTACAATAGGTAGCCGGTAAGGTAACTTACCGTACTTGTTATACGTAAGGTACCTCATGATCACTGTACTTATTAGTAAGAAGTATATTACCATATTCGTTATAGTAAAGTTAAATTGTAACAAGATATAGATTGAGCATTACTTATTCTTATACAGTAGATATTGAGACATTATGAAAATTTAATATTTCTATGTGTATACAAGTACACACAGTTGTATTTTTGTGAGTATGATGTATACAGAAGAAGTTGGCCTTGATGTGAGCCCCTTGACTGTGAGTGTGGGGTACATAGTGTAACACACTCCTTGTGTAAACACAGGTAATTTTACAGGCAGAATATAAAAAAATAAAATAACTTGATTCAATCAAAATGGAGATTATTAAAGTCAGCCCTGAATAACATTATACAACAAATGGTGGGTCCTGTCCCACACCTGTCCCACACTGTCCCACACCTGTACACTTGGCTAGGGACAGCGGCATTTAAACTAGCAGTAGTACCATACATTGAATAGAGAGTTTTACATATTGTAGTCTTACCTTACTGAACAACGATCCCATCGTAAAGTGTGAACCTTATATATATTAAGCCATAAGAGATGTTGTTTTCAGACTATATCCTCATATCTTTACAGAACTTCCTGATTTCCCAGGATTAACACACACATGTACAGGGCTGTGACTTGTGACTATACACAGCTGTAATACCTGACACATCAATCTTACCCTTAGTCAACAGGTACACTCATGTCAAAACAAGGGAGCACGTCACTAACTCATGGTTACTTGAATCCACACTCTTATAATCTTGTTGTGGTATTAAAAGTAGACAGTCTGAATCTGTTTCTTTGTTAATGATGTATAGTAATTTTGTTTTTGGTGGATGTTCACACACTAGTGATCAGTATACCGGTACATAGAGTCTTATATCTGTTGGACAAATATAACTAGGTACTAATAGGGACAAGTAGTTTGAGACAAAAACCTCCAACTAGCACTTGTATCATACATATTAGGGCACCTGGCACAGGTTAATTGCTAAATGATGAGTGGGTCACAGTTATTACACACATTTTCCATCAAACAATCTGCTTTTATTTTGACTATTTTAGGTGATTATGAATATATCCTATGCCCTTCTTACACAGCAACATACTGTACATTTGTTACACGCCTGTCCTTCACAGCAACTTGTGTCCTACAATTGTTACACGCCTGTCCTTCACAGCAACTTGTGTCCTACATTTGTTCAAGTGTTGTCCTACACAGCAATATTGTCCTACATTTGTTATTTACTTTTCCTAAATGGAAACATGTGTCTTCATGCGAGATGGTGTTTACCTCTGATGTTATGGGAGAGGAATGTTGTACAGGTTAATCCTATATATATTTAGCCACACATTTCTGCGATTTTATGGGAGAGGAATGTTGTACAGGTTAACCCTGTATATATTTAGCCACACATTTCTGCGATCTTATGGGAGAGGAATGTTGTACAGGTTAACCCTATATATATTTAGCCACACATTTCTGCGATGTTATGAAAAAGGAATGCCATGTCCATTAACATTACACCTGCCTGTTATCAACAGACAGTGATGTTGTGGTGTAGCTTAGGGATTGCGTAACATATTCTCTGCTATGACACAATGTATAGATTTCATCCGTTGCCTATTCCTAGAAGTCTTGATGAGGGATCCAATGTTATGTTATAAGAAAAAATACAGTTTTCTTCTAAATCAGTAGAGGTCAAGAAAACCACATGTAAATGATACCAGTAAAACAAAATAGTGTTCCACTTGTGTGCTATGCTCATTTCTTTTGATTTGTCTCTGATATCAGTCAATCAAAATAGTGTTCCACTTGTGTGCTATGCTCATTTCTATTGGTTTGTCTCTGATATCAGTCAATCAAAATAGTGATCCATTTTTGTGTTATGCTCACCTCTGTTAAAGGAAGACTTTTATGGGTTTGACCTTAGTTCTGTGTATCTACATGTAAAATAGAGGCAATGGGAGAACCATCTGTCTGGCTGTGGTATCACAGATCTCTAAAAAGGCTAATGACCACCTACAAGGCCATGGTGATGCTACTACATATATGCTAACTCACCATGTAGTCCTCTGTTTCCTAACCTGTTCTATTGGGCCATCACTACTCACAACAGACCATGCCACCTGTTTTGCCACTTGTTTTGCAGGGAAGCCATTTTAACAGGCACTACCATCCAATTTTGAGGAAAACTAATTTTCACTACAACATTGCCACCTGTTTTGAGGAAAACCCCTTTTCTCGTTGGTCACAATAAGTTCTGTCATAGGTATCAACCAGCTCAGCCACCTGTATGGTAGGGAAACCACATAACAACTTTCCTTTGGTATCAACCAGCCCAGCCACCCGTATGGTAGGGAAACCACATAACAACTTTCCTTTGGTATTAACCAGCCCAGCCACCTGTATGGTAGGGAAACCACAGATATCATTTTTATGATAATCTATATCCTTCCTATATTGACTTAACCACATCTGCCAATCTTATGGAAAGATGAGGAACTAAACATTAAATAATCCCTAATTTTCTGCAAAGCCAAAAATAAGTTTGTTTTTATTATATTAATTTGAGTTTAAGTAAAACAAGTTCAGTCCTAAAGATATCTGTCCTGGATTAACTGTATTGGTAATATATTCTATTGCATGTTGAATATGTCAGCAGAATAACTAAATTACTCCAAATCATATAAATGAAAATTGATACCAATTTGTTACCTGTCTGAAATTAATAAAACTTGGAGAAACCTGTGTGTAGAGTCCATACTGCCCAATGTTTACTACTCGCCCTGACCACCCAGGGGCATACTGTCCATACTTGCCAATATTCATTGCTTGCATTGACCACCCCAGTACAAAGTGTTGGGGACATACTGTCCATTCTGGCCAATGTTCAATGCTTGCTATGACCACTATAGTTACAAAGTGTTGGGGACATACTCTACATTCTGGCCAATGTTCAATTCTTGCTATGACCACTTTAGTTACAAAGTGTTGGTGACATACTCTACATTCTGGCCCATGTTCAATGCTTGCTATGACCACTATAGTTAAAAAGTGTTGGGGACATACTCCACATCCTGGCCAATGTTCACTGCTTGCAATGACCACCCCAGTACAAAGGTTTGGGGGCATACTTTACATTCTGACCAGTGTTCAATTCTTGCCATGACCACTATAGTTACAAAGTGTTGGGGACATACTCTACATTCTGGCCAATGTTCAATGCTTGCTATGACCACTTTAGTTACAAAGTGTTGGGGACATACTCTACATTCTGGCCAATGTTCACTGCTTGCATTGACCACCCCAGTACAAAGTTTTGGGGGCATACTTTACATTCTGACCAGTGTTCAATGCTTGCCATGACCACTATAGTTACAAAGTTTTGGAGTCTGTTTATACCCGACTTTGCTGTTTGGCTAACAGTACGTCCCCTATATACTCCTTATACGTACCAAGGCAAACACAACACAACACCTAAATAGCAAATAGCTGCTCCGCCGATAGCATGGACGGAGTCGTCATTTATTCATAAATATAATATGAATACAATAAATACGCATTAACAAAATAACTACTCTGACTTCATTTACCGTACACACCAACAATCCTCCCACATATACCCTTGCATGGTTCATCGCCCTACAAATGTAAAATCAAGCGTGCCACCCAACCTGAAAACCTTATTAGGCGCGACAGGAGGTGTACCAGTCCGACAATGCTTAAGGTTTTTTTTACAAAATTGATGCTGGTATTTCTTAAATATGACGATGCCGACACATACATCTGTTACATAAACATAAAATTCTGCTATAATTTTATTTCAAACTGTACTACGCCGTGAGAGTTGCGAAGCTACAGTTGTGGGATCGCACAACGTTACACGATGTGCGGTGTGCGCACGATGTGTGCACGGTGTGTGAACGATGTGTGCACAAAGTGCGAACGATAAAAAATTGGACGATCATTCCTTGCGCACATTTGTGCGGACGATCGACGAACGTTGGGCGATAACAATCGTGGTTGGTTTAAATAAAGGAATGGCTTGACAATATATACGGTTTCGTGTTTGAACATAAAATCAGATTTTTTAGTATGTTTCAATACTCTAGCTACATCTATAAGTTATCTTTCTGTCAATACTTTCTTAAATTTAGAAATGGTGTTTTGTGGGGTTTTTAAACGACCTTAATCGACAGGTGTAAATTTACAACACAGTCTCGGCTACACAGGTAAACATTGCCACTTTGTACCTGGACCGTACTTTACCCCGCCCGGGGCACTTACGTAACTCGCCAAGGTGTGAAAACCAGATGGAGGGGAGCTATAGACCAAAACTAATGCAAATAACAAATATTAAACGTCTAGTTGAGTTTTCATAACGGTCATACGGTATCATATATCAGCTCTATGTGTCAAGTACAGGCCAGGTAAAACTCGGTCACTCATCAAATTGTTATTAACCTGTTCTGTTACCGAGGAGCCAAACCCATTCTTGACAGTCTAACGGTCACTGTATACTGTATTATACGCATTGTTAACTTGTACATACTCTTAATTATAGCAGAGACATACACGTCTCTGATTTTAGTGATGAGAAATTACAGTGATATATACAGTGTACATTATTGCATACGAGCATTCCGTATTTTTTCCATTCCGTAATATTGATCAACAAATTGTACCATATCGCACAGATGTGCAGAGAGAAGCGCACAACGGGGCGAACGATTATTAAATCGCACAGTTGTTCGCTCCATGTGTGGACGATGTGCGGACGGTGTGTGAACGATGTATGCACGGTGTGAGCACGGTATTTTTGGTGCGATGTGCGTTCCCACAACTGTAGAATGAACATACATGTACCCGTAAACTACCCTTAGCATGTGCCTCAATCTGATTGGTCAAAACCTCTGCACGAGACAGGCAACTGCCCTCGTATACTCTGTGTATACAGGACAAATATTTCCTGCTATTCTCCGAAACGCAGGAAAGTAATAAGATCCTGTGTAAACAGGATGAGTGGTGATATCTTTATGGAGTTTCAGCCAACATTAATTAACTATCATCTGTTTATACTTGCACTAAACAAGTACTCTTCATGAAGTTTTTTTTTAATTGCTAACAACTAATGTATCCCAGAGTAATAAGAGATGTGAAACTTTCAACAATTCACAAACCAGGATATTGGTGCTTTGCTAAATATTTATCAACACGTTCTGTTGGTAGATAAGTGAGCTGAGACTCTATCTACATGGGTCATATACTCTGACCTTCATCAATGTTAAAAAAAATAAAAAAATCTACACACTGTCCAAACTTTGATGCTACCTATAGTGAAGATCTTAGTCTACTACCCAGACACGACCTGCTTTGATCTCTTGGTTATTGATGTACTTTCACTTTGTAATCATTGCACTTTGACTTCCATTGTTTATGTAATCTGTCTGTTCTACTTTCATTTTGAGCTTCTTCCCTTGATAAATGTTTCTCAGCAATTTCCATATTTATTACTCATACTTGATTTTATGTAACAAGTTTGCCGTAGCAGAAGTTTGTGCCCTAGTGCTGACTACACTACAGATGTTAGTCTGGTGTGGAACAGAAATAGATCGTACAGAAATATACAGAGATAATTATAAAACCATACATGATAAAGTAAGCTACAAACAATCCAGATCGTGTAATTGTGTGAAGTTGGAGATGTGTCTGAGCTAGAACAACTTGTGTGGCCCAAATCAGGAGATCGTTGTAGGATTAAAGGAAATCTATTGATTTGTTCCTTGAAGTAATTTTTAAACCCGACACATTTTACATGAAATCAATTCTGCATAAAGTTGTTAATGTTTTCTCTAATGATACAAATCTTCATACTATTGATGCTAATCTGAAGAAAATTGTCCATATTCAGCTATTTTTACAGATTTAATACAGCAATTTCTTTGTTTTCCCTGTATATACCATTGTAGATCTTTGCTCATTTTCTCAGCTTAATACTAGTAAACGAAGAAGATGAAACTTTAATGCTTCCTGAAAAATTGGAAGAATATAGTTGCTCTTTTGTCTGTCTGTCCTTCTGTCGCTCTTTCTTGTCTGGACAAAACTTTTTAAGTATACAAGGTAACTTTATTATCCCCTAAATGAAACTTCAAGGGGATATTAGGATTCTGCCAGTACATATTTTTAGAAAAAACTTTGTCATTGCTCTAACTTCATTTCCTCTTACATATGTCACAATGTGTGAATGTGATGGGATTTACACTTGTGATGCCTTGTTAAACTTAGTACACAGTATGAGGAATTAAGGTGGTGTGCAGTGCATGAAATCACAACTCTTCCTGTTAGACACAAGAGTCATCCCCTCTTTCTATAGAGATGGCATTTCTGAATCAAGGTTGGTTTGGGGAGCATCTATCATTTCAACAGATTCTCTTGTTTTTTACAAAATATAACAGGACTTTTGCTATATCTGTATACCTACCATACCAATAAGAATTCCCTTGTTTTCAAACACTTTGAAGGCATCGCTTTCTGGTCTTTTCTTTGTCACTTGACCTCTGACGTCGGAGGGGCTAGTGGGCTTTTCCTCGAAAGCCTTTATTCTGTTCTTGACAGATACATCCTTTTCTTCAGAGGGTTCCCTGTCTTGTCTCCTGTACCATATAAAACATAATTTTACAATTGTGACATCGTGAAGTTTTTCACTACATTTTTCTCTTTAGATTACAGCAAAATTTTATGACCTCTTTTTTTTTTCTTTTTTTCTCTCTCAATAATATGAAATTTGGAAAAGTGCAACTCCAATTATTTTCACAAAAGTGTTTCATGTTTACTAACAACTGTCAGTATGATTTGGGAAGCAATGGAAAGAGTAGGGCCAGATTTTTCTTATATTATCAGTAATACTTGTTACAATTTTGACTATTTATGTTCTTGAAGTTTCAAGAGAGAAAGCAGAGATATTTTACAGCTGGTATTTGTGACATCTGTAATCATGCAGACTACAATGTGAAGGATAAAGACGAGCAATGCACAGGTCTACATGTACATGTATACGTACAACTGGTATAATTTTATAGATACCATATTTTACCACCAATACAGTCATACTCAAGATCATACCCACCCCACAAACCGCCTTAAAAAGATTTAAGCCTGTTTCAGTTTGCATGCCTTTATTACTGTACCCAGGAGAGGAAGCTAGCTTACCCTCAGATGTTGTATTATATTCTGTACCACGGAGAGGAAGGTAGCTTACCCTCAGATGTTGTATTATATTCTGTACCCAGGAGAGGAAGCTAGCTTACCCTCAGATGTTGTATTATATTCTGTACCACGGAGAGGAAGGTAGCTTATCCACTGATGTTGTATTGTATTCTGTACCACGGAGAGGAAGGTAGCTTACCCTCTGATGTTGTATTGTATTCTGTACCCAGGAGAGGAAGGTAGCTTATCCACTGATGTTGTATTACATTCTGTACCCAGGAGAGGAAGGTAGCTTACCCACTGATGTTCTATTATATTCTGTACCCAGGAGAGGAAGGTAGCTTACCCTCCGATGTTATATTATATTCTGTACCCAGGAGAGGAAGGTAGCTTATCCACTGATGTTCTATTATATTCTGTACCCAGGAGAGGAAGGTAGCTTACCCACCGGTGTTGTATTATATTCTGTACCCAGGAGAGGAAAGTAGCTTACCCACCGATGTTGTATTATATTCTGTACCCAGGTGTGGAAGGTAGCTTACCCAACGATGTTGCATTATATTCTATACCCAGGCACCGATGTTGTCTTATATTCTGTACCCAGGAGAGAAAGGGAGCTTACCCACTAAGGTTGAATTATATTTTGTACCCAGGAGAGGAAAGTAGCTTACCCAACGATGTTGTATTACATTCTGTACACAGGAGAGGAAGGAAGCTTACCCAACGATGTTGTATTATATTCTGTACACAGGAGTGGAAGGTAGCTTACCCACCGGTGTTGTATTATATTCTGTACACAGGAGAGGAAGGTAGCTTATCCACTGATGTTCTATTATATTCTGTACCCAGGAGAGGAAGGTTGCTTACCCACCGGTGTTGTATTATAATTTGTACCCAGGAGAGGAAGGTAGCTTACCCACCGATGTTCTATTACATTCTGTACCCAGGAGAGGAAGGTAGCTTACCCAACGATGTTCTATTATATTCTGTACCCAGGAGAGGAAGGTAGCTTACCCACCAATGTGGTATTATATTCTGTACACAGGAGTGGAAGGTAGCTTACCCACCGATGTTCTGTTACATTCTGTACCCAGGAGAGGAAGGTAGCTTATCCACTGATGTTGTATTATATTCTGTACCTGGGAGAGGAAGGTAGCTTACCCACCGATGTTCTATTACATTCTGTACCTGGGAGAGGAAGGTAGCTTATACACTGATGTTGTATTACATTCTGTACCAAGTAGAGGAAGGTAGCTTACCCACCAATGTTGTATTACATTCTGTACCCAGGAGAGGAAGGTAGCTTACCCAACGATGTTGTATTATATTCTGTACCATGGAGAGGAAGGTAGCTTATCCACTGATGTTCTATTATATTCTGTACACAGGAGTGGAAGGTAGCTTACCCAACGATGTTGCATTATATTCTATACCCAGGCACCGATGTTGTATTATATTCTGTACCCAGGAGAGAAAGGGAGCTTACCCACTAAGGTTGAATTATATTTTGTACCCAGGAGAGGAAGGTAGCTTACCCACCAATGTTGTATTACATTCTGTACCCAGGAGAGGAAGGCAGCTTACCCAACGATGTTGTATTATATTCTGTACACAGGAGTGGAAGGTAGCTTACCCACCGGTGTTGTATTATATTCTGTACACAGGAGAGGGAGGTAGCTTATCCACTGATGTTCTATTATATTCTGTACCCAGGAGAGGAAGGTAGCTTAGTATATACCCACCGGTGTTGCATTATATTCTTGTTCATAGGAAGTAGTATGTCTTAAACACCAGTGATATACATGGACTTGAGAGAAAACACAGGTTTACCATAGAATGCACCACTGGTACCTGTCCACTCACAACTTCCTTCCTGTCTATCAAACCTACAGTTGTATGATTCAGGCTGTTTCCCCCGGGGTTGTACTGCTGGGTGTATTGTATGTAGGAAAACAATGTACTGTGCATCACTGAGATATCTCATTAATAAGTAGAGATAAATACAATCTGGTAATAGTTTATAGTTCTTAAGTATGTTAGTAATACAATGAGAAATGTATATTTTCAATTATGGACGTTGATGAGGTAGATAGTTTAAGGTGATAACTATACCAACATAATAATTGAGTGAAAAGTTCCTAATTTTTGTAAAGTTCCTAATATCATACAAAATACCATAAATGTATGGTGTTTTTTTTTATATTGATAAGAGTTTCTTTATTTTGATGTCAAACAAAAATCAAATGACAAATGGACACGATACATATAAAGTATCTTGACTTTAAAACTTTCAAAAATCAGTGATGGAAATACGTCTTTATATAATTTGATAAGAGATGTGATTGTTGTTATAAGTTAAAAAAAAACAAGGCATGCCAATATGTCAAGCAGATGTATTAGGGATACCTTCTGTATAGTGACTGGTACTTCACAGTAGAGATGATTAACATGTGACAGTTATAGTGAATAGGTAAGACCAGTAGTAGAAACATAACCAGTATATATAGTAGAGAGATTATATGTGTGGTAATTATTGGTATAGATATATACCAACCTACCTCAATACCACAGGTTTGTTTGTGGCATCTGAATCAAGACCAGGTCTGAAAGGAGTCATAAATTATATTATGCTTAAATAGGTACTTAAATATTGTTTTTCATTTGTGCTGTTCAAACAACAGGTTGTACTTTCTGTACAAGCAAAATAGTTTCTTGATAAAGATCAAATTATTCTTTTGTACGAGCTGCAGATTCTAGTTTCTGTACAAGCAGAAATTTCTGTATTACACATTGTTTAAGACATGTATCTATGAACCAGGACAGCCTACAATGTCTAGTAAAGATGTGCATCAATACGTTTGAAGTATTGGTACTTGTTTATCTGGCTTTTTCCATCAGAGTCTTAATGTTATCATACTTATTCATGACTGGCTTAATGTAATGATACTTGACACATTTAGAAGTCTCCTTTTCCAGTTGCCAGGCTGTCTGTCTACTCAATATATACTATGGTTACTCTACTGTTACATAAGTCTGTAACAGTTTATTTAGACCCAGACCACTGCCAGTATATAATATGGTTACTATGGTTACTCTACTGTTACATAAGTCTGTAACAGTTTATGTAGACCCAGACCACTGCCAGTATAGACTATGGTTACTCTACTATTACATAAGTCTGTAACAGGAAGTATTTAGACCCAGACCACTACCAGTATAGACTATGGTTACTATGGTTACTCTACTGTTACATAAGTCTGTAACAGTTTATGTAGACCCAGACCACTGCCAGTATAGACTATGGTTACTCTACTGTTACATAAGTCTGTAACAGGAAGTATTTAGACCCAGACCACTACCAGTATAGACTATGGTTACTATGGTTACTCTACTGTTACATAAGTCTGTAACAGGAAGTATACTCTCATTCTCATGGCATTTCAGGAACAGACAATAGGAATACAATACTATGTTATTAAAATACATATTTGACATAATGTTGCCATTCTCCTTCCTTTCCCCCCTCCCTTTCTTCTTCTTGCCTCCTGCTCCGTTCTTTTCCCTCCATTTTTCCCTCCATTTCTCCCTTCCCCTACATTATTTTCCATGTTTCCTCCCACCCCCACCCCACCCCCAACTTCTCTGTCTCTCTCTATCATCTCTTCCGTACTTCTCCCTCCCACTTCAAATCTAATATAATTCCCACTGGATATGTTTTGGATGAGAGGGTAGATGAAGAGATTACAAGGATTTATCTTGCCTTTAACTTATAGCCAGGCCTTGGACTGGAAGCAGGAAGCTAGTGCTTCTGTATCAAAACTGAAATCTTTCTTCACATCAACCCTGTGGCCTCAAGTACCTACTGGTGCACTCCCGAGATAACTCCAGATGTACATTTAGTTAGAGTTCTTTTCCTACACTAACACTGCTTACAAAAAGATTGTAACATTTTGAAGTTGTTTTTGAATTAATTGGGAGATTCTGTCTGCTACATTACCTCTGTCCATATATTAGGAAAGATATTGGTACATAAAATTTGCATAAAATGTCTGAAAACCTGGGTGATATGGGCTGTATAAGACAATACATAGAATACATGGAACATTCTCATTGTGAACAATTATAAAATAAGATGTAATTATTCCAGCCATCTGATTAACTTTGGTAACAGCTTTATCATCAAAGGGAATGTGACAAAACCTTGATACAGTGAGCAGACAAAGATGCTAGCTACAAGGGCAAACCCTTTGATGTGTGTGTTCATTATAAAGCCAGAAATATTCCCCTGCGAACTCTAGGCCTGAGAGATGTATACTCGTTATATACCATTACACTGTGTAACCCCTGTAGGTATCTCAGCTTCCCCATACTCCACAAACTGGGGAAGTGAGTAAAAGTGGAGCTGCATGGCTAGTTTTGATGCCATTGCCAATGTGTAAGATCCTTTTTCACTGGTATAGATTTTATCTGCATTAGCAAGCACCTGCGATGTAATATCACTTCTGACACACATGTACCGGTATGTGTAGTGGGGAGGCAGGCACGGTATGTGTAGTGGGGAGGCAGGCACGTGTACAGGACCTTTACACAGAGCCTTGTTTACACATATCTTAAATAACTTTAGAAACTGCCATAGTTTAAAACTTGTTTAAAGATGCATACAAAAAGTAATAAAAAAGACACAAATTATTGGATTTCAACTGCATGCCCCTTTAGAGTAAGGCCTTAATACAGCCTGTGTCAGTGTCTATAGTGTTACAGTTGTCATACAACATCCATTTATTCAGCTTATTAAAAATCGGAGGTTAAAAGGAGACAAAAGGTCATTTGTAGGACATTTATTGGTGCCATCTTATTTCATTTGTTATATAATGGTGTGTATCGGTAAGTCCATGGTTTGTCAGGCGTGACCAAATTTATCATTTGTTATATAATCGTGTGTATCAGTAGCGGTAAGTCCATGGTTTGTCAGGCGTGACCAAATTTATCCAAGCTTCAATGCTTGTGTATTCCTTATCAGTGGAGATGGGAGATGCAGCTTTATACATGTATTAACTACAGGACCTCAACCCATGGACATGGTAGAATCAGAGTATGGAACATACTGCTGGGTCTTTTTCCTTGGCACAGTGTAGCAGTAAAAATGAAAACCCTTTATCTTCAAAAGTGAACTGAAAGCTTGCCCCTTTTCCATCTATTTGTTTCTCCTTCCTCGATAGTGAACTGACAGCCTCCTCTCTACCCCCCTTTCCCTCATATAGTGAACTTGTCTCCCCCCCCCCCCCCCCCCCCCACCAGAACGCATAGGAAATTTGTAAGTAAATGATACTTATATATTGGAACATGTAGAAAGCTATCAGTATAATTATTTATTATTCTGTATAAAAGCTATCCAACTTGGCAGTAATATTTTACAGGGAGGAAGACACCTAAATGCCCCATTTCGTTTCATACATTTTATATTTACACTCGATAACCGGACCCTTTGCCCGAGCTAGTTTGTAACATGTAGACTACACAATGTTATATACACACACACTTTGTCTATACTTACTCCTCTTTCTGTTTGTCTTCCTCTTCATTAAGAGGTTTTACTTCCTCCCCACTCTGCCTTCCATCTTCATTGCTAACAAGTGTCTTTACGGTATCCTCTGATGCCTTTGCATCGCTTGATCGGCGTTTTTTACGACGACAACAACATTGAAATATAGCAACCAGCAACGACATACTGACGAGTGCGGTTACAGTACTTACGATGGTCACAACCATCTTAGACATAGACTTGTCCTTATGTCGCTCACGGTCACCTACCTCCTGACTCAAGGCCTCAGACTTGGCCAAGTCACCCTCTGCTCCACTCAGTTTCAAACTGTTGTAAAACTTGGAGGAAGTTTGTGAAGTTTTAATTTGTGGTGGCTCTCTGCTCTGTAAACTTGCATGGAAGAGCGTGTGTTTTGACCGGTGGAAAACGGAAGGACTATCCACTTCCTTATCTGTGTAAACACCTAGATCAGAATCACTGCTGCGTTCTGGATGACTAACCCTCTCTGTGGCAGTCAGTTTCTGTAATAAGACTGATTGAGTGTAGTCATTATCACTCTGTTGATCAGTTAGCAGGGACGGCTGGGGGTGGCCAGAACTCCCTGGGACCCAGACAGCCCCTACACAGATCACAAGGAAACACAAATACACACTAGAAACTGTATCCCGCATCCTCAGTAGCCCTGCACTTACACACTGATAACTGGCTCCACAGAAACAACTCACACAAATTTCTTTATGAATAATAAAACACTATCACTTTCACATATATGTGAACCACATGGTACACATTTGTAAATTCCAGCTAGCAATAAATATTCCTGGTATTCGCAGTGTAACCAATTCTCTTTGAGAAATAATATCACTCCTTGTTTATTTTCTTTTACAGAAATACACACATATATTCCTATTTACAACAAATACAAATTTGGATCCAGCATTTTTGTTTTCCTATGGTAGAAATAAATCCAAGGGATCCACACTACAGGAACATGAGGGCTCTCTATCGAATTAACACCCAAGCCTGCCAATACATCACCTAGCCCAATGTGTTTGTACCAGTCTTTTTTTTGTTGAGTGTATTCCAAGGAATTAGTGGAGGCTGCTGCTACCTGTGGATGAGCAGTGATTTGACAGTAGTGCTGGGGCTTACATAAACAGCCCTGGGGTGAGGTCAGCATCAGTCTCGCTCTCTCTCCACAGGCTGTACAAACATAGGTACTGTGGTATACATACCCTGAGACTATGTGTATCCATGCTCACCTGAACAATGTACACACTGCCATCTCTACAGTAAAATATTTACGCTGAACAATATCTGTTTATTGCTGGGATACTTTAATCTGTTGGATGTTGTCTGTGTAATGATGCAATTTATCTGTAGACAGTCCAGTAAAGTTCATGTACAGCTGGGCTGTATCTTCACTTCAAGGATATAGGGCTGAAAGAAAAGCTTTTCATTAGTTCCTATATAATGCAAAATGAGAATTTTTATTAGATAAAAAACTTCAAAGTGCAACCTGTAATATCATCTGACTGTGCAGGAAATAATAAGTATTTTTTGTCTGTTTAAATTAAGATGTTTTAATAAATGCCCTCATCAACTTTTTACAATATCGTGTTCTGTTTGTACATATAAATGTGCGTCCAAATATATATTCCCCTTTTGTCGTCACTCCAGCAACTTCAAACCTGAAAGGATCTTGATTCCACTTGGCATATTGGTCAGGTATGAGAATACCTTGAACAAGGTTGTGTTTCAGGGTGCTAAGGTTAAATTCACCATTGGTACTTATATAAGAATATTGCAGTAATATGCAGGTATTACATATTCATAAATTAATCAATCAGATTTAGGCAGTTTTTATTGCTGTCTGTATTTCGTTTTTAATGGAAGAAAATGCAGACACAATGATGTTAATTATCAGAGGATGAAGTTGTTGGTGTGAGACATAACGAGGTACTGTTAGATATATAATCTTTAACCACATGCGAGGTGATCTTCTTCTTCTTCTTCTTTGACTTTATTCCTCCATAAATGAAGAGTACATATATATGAAAATGTAATAATATTTTGACAAAGAATTAGAAAAAATAGTAGATATCAATAAAGTGTAGGCATAGCAAAGGTTACATAAATGACATATATTGATCGTACTAGATCAAGGCGTCAATGAGGAAAAATACATTAAACAGGAAATAAAAGAAGGGAAAAAAAATATAAATACATGTTTGAGACAAATTCAATTTGATTGTATATATACACACTTACTGGAAAGTGAATTCAGCAGCTTTGACAGAAAAGCAACAGCACTCGTATGCAAACCTAGTGCAACACTCATCATCCGGGAATAGTTCCCGTATATTATCAGGAATGTGCCCTAATAGGATACAAAGAATTTCCTGTCTTTCTAAACTATCAAGTTTGACATACAACTCAACCGGATAATTGTTTACAATATCAGTCACGGAAGGTAACCAAATCTGGATGTCTACAATCAAGTAAGCAACGAGCCAGAGCATCCTGAGACATTGGTTTACATTTAGCACATAACAGCTCACAGTATGGGCTTATTAACCACAAATTCACTACTCTATTGCAAATATGAGATTGAAAAGGAAATAACTGTTTCCACAGAAACCAAAGAGACGACGGACAAAGTGTTCCATGCAAATATAGGAATCGACAAAAATCGTCACAATTGTTCAGGCGCTCATACCATTCTGATTGTTCTTTTGAACAAATAGCATTTTTAACAAAAAAAATCCACGACTGTTTGGAAGGGGAAAAAGCTTCTTCCAAGAAATAGTTCAAGAACTCTTCCAGACCATATTTTAAAATAATGAACCAGATGTCGTAAATGACACCTTTAGTACTTTTATAAACACATAGGTGTTTCTGGTACAACCGTAATAAAAATAGCTGTTTTACAGTAGCTGAAGTTCTCAGACGACACAAAGAACCAAAGAATCGAAGTTTAGACTGTTCTACTTTCGCCTTCAGTGACGTTAGCCCCAACATACCAAGTGCCATGTCAGAACGTGTTCTGAAGGGAAAACACTGAATGACTTTGGCACTTTGTGATTGACGTTATATATCAATGAATAACATTGATTCCTTTAATTTATGTAACATGTACTGTAATTACTCATTGTGATGTAAGAATTTAGATGACAGATACTGACATCATGGCATTATGACATCACATTGAAGATATAGTGTACATGAAGCCAAAATAGTGGCATTGCAGACTTGATGTCCGGGGAAACCTGTTTTCACTAATCTTACCTTCCTTCTGAGTTATGTGATGTATATGGTAATTAATGTGATGTAGGGATTGAACGGCGTAACAGGCTTCATGTTTCATACCAACATGATAATTTAAAAACCGCCGTTCAATCCATATATCTACATTTTACTCTAGAACAATTGTTAAATTTCATTTATTTGTTCAATAATAAAATTCATTTATTTACTGCGTTTTGTATATGTGTCGTCCTTTAAACGATATTGGGGGAACAGACCTATTTTAATCAAATTGATGCCAATAATTAACCGTAGTCATTTGAGCGTTTGATAAACCATGTGTTACGTCACGAGAGTTTTTTCTTTCATATTCAAATGAAATGCATTTCTGCTGGTAATGTTCATATAGTGGATTGCAGCACAAATGTAAATATAGAGTAATGAATTTGTTTCCATTTCAAAGAAGACTTAGGAGTATTGCTTCCATAAAATGAAAACTTTAATCTAGTTCCATATACATCACACATGCATCAGAAACTCCAGTAAGGTCCTTAAGTTATTGATATTCATAACATGATTTTGAATTTAAAGTTTTGGGGATGTAATAATTTGTATTGGCTTGGTGTAAAGCTATTGATTTGAACCATCTCTGCCTGATTTAACTGACGTGTTTCAATAGGCCCGAGGTTAAATTCTCAAGTTACTTATGATTAGCTTAATTTACATCTTTGCCATTAATCGCCACATCATGTCTAATTTAAGGATTGTGTTTTAAAATTAAGTTATTTTCCTTTAGCTAAGGTGATAAATTAGATTTATTCAACAGATAAAATGGATTCTTAAATCTATAATCAAGACAAAGTGATGGAAACAATTTTTCAGTGAATGAGCATTCAATTATTGCTATGGCAACAAGAGGCCTGGTGCTGCACCGACATAATGGATGGGCAGTAAGTCTGCCGAGACCTGCATTTGATGGCTAACTTCTGTTTTAGCAGCTAAACCAGGAGCTGACTTTTATTGATTATTAAATGGATTTTGTTCAGGTTATTCCTATAAGTCAAAAATGGTAATAAACTCTGAAAAAATGAAGTATTATAAAATTAAACCAGATGAAGCATTCAGAATGTTGACACCTAAAATGATAGACTGGAATCATCAACGGGTTGACTATAGGAAATCATTAAAACACTCAAAACAATCACCTCTCAATCTGTGGCTGGCTTTTCTGTCCCCTTGTCTGCCATACTCCCACCTCGACTCGCACAGTCCCGGCTCCGACCTTTGATGTTTTATCCCTCAGTACTATAAATATGATCATTTAGAGACACTTGCCTGACTGGCCCTGTATATGGTGTGGCCCTATTGTCCTAACTGCTGTGACAGACCTCAGGCTGACTCATCCCCAGGCCAGCCACAGGCTAATACAGCCGTGGGGACAATTTTATTTAGCACAATATTTTCTACTAACTGCTTTGTTTGTTTGAATAAGGAATCCAAATAGTCTGTACAATAATCATAATTATATGTAGGGGTCTTATTCATTTATTTGGTTTTCATACCTTAGTAGTGAGACAATCATATCTGTCCATTCCCTTGTCCTGATGAAATCTTCACCATCTTCACCGTAACATTTATAGTTCCCTTCAGATTAAGAAATTTGAAGTATTTTAACCAACAAATGTTTGTTTTCTTTAAAGCTGTTCGAAATATTGCTAGATATATTTACAAGAACACTGTATAACGGATGAGTCATCTCAACATATCCTGTTTGATTGAGACATTATCTTCACAAGACAAGCTGTCTAGTGCTGTAGATGACATCTAGTACTTACTGCTTATTTGATGGATATTTAAACGACAGAATCCTGATTAGTTGAATCTTTATTTAAATCTAAAGTTTATTCTCTTATATAAATACTTTTATGTTGATGAATCTGTTTTTCTAAGAATTACTGGATTAGTATCCTGATTGGAATGTATATGTGACGAGACACAGCCAGCTAATGATGGTTGATGATAAGAGTAAGTTGTGTATTAGGAGGTAGATAGGTATTTAGGTAGGTGGTAGAGAATGTTAATGAGTCCCATATCAGGACAGACCCCTAGTATCATAACTGCAAACTAGCCAGGAACCTGTCACCCCTAGTACACTCTGTATCACATACAAACTAGCCAGGGGCCTGTCACCCCTAGTATCACATAAAAACTAGCCAGGGGCCTGTCACTCCTACTATCATATCTACAAACGAGCCAGGGGCCTGCCAACCCTTGTATCACATACAAACTAACATGGGGCCTGTCACCCCTAGTATCACATACAAACCAGTAAGGGGACTGTCACCCCTAGTATCACATAAAAACTAGCCAGGGGCCTGTCACTCCTACTATCATATCTACAAACTAGCCAGGGGCCTGCCAACCCTTGTATAACATACAAACTAACATGGGGCCTGTCACCCCTAGTATCACATACAAACTAGCCAGGAACCTGTCACCCCTAGTACACTCTGTATCATATACAAACTACCATGGGGCCTGTCACCCCTAGTATCACATACAAACCAGTAAGGGGCCTGTCACCCCTAGTATCACATAAAAACTAGCCAGGGGCCTGTCACTCCTAGTATCATATCTACAAACTAGCCAGGGGCCTGCCAACCCTTGTATCACATACAAACTAACATGGGGCCTGTCACCCCTAGTATCACATACAAACTAGCCAGGGGCCTGTCACCCCTATTATCACATACAAACTAGCCAGGGGCCTGACACCCCTAGTATCATATCTACAAACTAGTCAGGGGCCTGCCACCCCTAGTATCACATACAAACTAACATGGGGCCTGTCACCCCTAGTATCACATACAAACTAGCCAGGGGCCTGTCACCCCTAGTATCACATACAAACTAGCCAGGGGCCTGACACCCCTAGTATCATATCTACAAACTAGTCAGGGGCCTGCCACCCCTAGTATCACATACAAACTAACATGGGGCCTGTCACCCCTAGTATCACATACAAACTAGTCAGGGGCCTGCCACCCCTAGTATCACATACAAACTAGCATGGGGCCTGTCACCCCTAGTATCACATACAAACTAGTCAGGGGCCTGCCACCCCTAGTATCACATACAAACTAGCCAGGGGCCTGCCACCCCTAGTATCACATACAAACTAGCCAGGGGCCTGACACCCCTAGTATCATATCTACAAACTAGTCAGGGGCCTGCCGACCCTTGTATCACATACAAACTAACATGGGGCATGTCACCCCTAGTATCACATACAAACTAGCCAGGGGCCTGTCACCCCTATTATCACATACAAACTAGCCAGGGGCCTGACACCCCTAGTATCATATCTACAAACTAGTCAGGGGCCTGCCACCCCTAGTATCACATACAAACTAACATGGGGCCTGTCACCCCTAGTATCACATACAAACTAGTCAGGGGCCTGCCACCCCTAGTATCACATACAAACTAGCCAGGGGCCTGCCACCCCTAGTATCACATACAAACTAGCCAGGGGCCTGACACCCCTAGTATCATATCTACAAACTAGTCAGGGGCCTGCCGACCCTTGTATCACATACAAACTAACATGGGGCATGTCACCCCTAGTATCACATACAAACTAGCCAGGGGCCTGTCACCCCTATTATCACATACAAACTAGCCAGGGGCCTGACACCCCTAGTATCATATCTACAAACTAGTCAGGGGCCTGCCACCCCTAGTATCACATACAAACTAACATGGGGCCTGTCACCCCTAGTATCACATACAAACTAGTCAGGGGCCTGCCACCCCTAGTATCACATACAAACTAGCATGGGGCCTGTCACCCCTAGTATCACATACAAACTAGTCAGGGGCCTGCCACCCCTAGTATCACATACAAACTAGCCAGGGGCCTGCCACCCCTAGTATCACATACAAACTAGCCAGGGGCCTGACACCCCTAGTATCATATCTACAAACTAGTCAGGGGCCTGCCGACCCTTGTATCACATACAAACTAACATGGGGCATGTCACCCCTAGTATCACATACAAACTAGCCAGGGGCCTGTCACCCCTATTATCACATACAAACTAGCCAGGGGCCTGACACCCCTAGTATCATATCTACAAACTAGTCAGGGGCCTGCCACCCCTAGTATCACATACAAACTAACATGGGGCCTGTCACCCCTAGTATCACATACAAACTAGTCAGGGGCCTGCCACCCCTAGTATCACATACAAACTAGCATGGGGCCTGTCACCCCTAGTATCATATACAAACTAGCCAGGGGCCTGCCACCCCTAGTATCATATACAAACTAGCCAGGGGCCTGTCACCCCTAGTATCATATACAAACTAGTCAGGGGCCTGCCACCCCTAGTATCATATACAAACTAGCCAGGGGCCTGTCACCCCTAGTATCATATACAAACTAACATGGGTCCTGTCACCCCTAGTATCATATCCACAAACTAGTCAGGGGCCTGCCACCCCTAGTATCATATCCACAAACTACCATGGGGCCTGTCACTCCTAGTGTCACATACAAACTAGTCAGGGGCCTGCCACCCCTATCACATACAAACTAACATGGGGCCTGTCACCCCTAGTATCATATCGACAAACTAGCCAGGGGCCTGCCACCCCTAGTATCATATACAAACTACCAAGGTTCCTGTCACCCCTAGTATCATATCCACAAACTACCCTGGGGCCTGTCACGCCTAGTGTCACATACAAACTAGCCAGGGGCCTGTAACCCCTATTATCACATAAAAACTAGCCAGGGGCCTGTCACCCTTAGTATCATATCTACAAACTACCATGGGGCCTGTCAACCAGCCAGGGGCCTGTCACCCCTAGTATCATATCTACAAACTAGCCAGGGGCCTGTCACCCCTATTATCACATAAAAACTAGCCAGGGGCCTGTCACTCCTAGTATCATATCTACAAACTAGCCAGGGGCCTGCCAACCCTAGTATCACATACAAACTAACATGGGGCCTGTCACTCCTAGTATCACATACAAACTAGCCAGGGGCCTGTCACCCTTAGTATCATATCTACAAACTACCATGGGGCCTGTCACCCCTAGTATCACATACAAACTAGTAAGGGGCCTGTCACCCCTAGTATCATATCTACAAACTAGTAAGGGGCCTGCCACCCCTATTATCATATACAAACTAGCTATCATATCTACAAACTACCATGGGGCCTGTCAACCTAGTCAGGGGCCTGCCACCCCTAGTATCACATACAAACTAACATGGGGCCTGTCACTCCTAGTATCACATACAAACTAGCCAGGGGCCTGCCACCCCTAGTATCACATACAAACTAGTCAGGGGCCTGTCACCCCTAGTATCATATCTACAAACAAGTAAGGGGCCTGCCACCCCTAGTATCATATACAAACTAGTAAGGGGCCTGTCACCCCTAGTATCATATCTACAAACTAGTCAGGGACCTGCCACCCCTAGTATCACATACAAACTAACATGGTGCCTGTCACCCCTAGTATCACATACAAACTAGCCAGGGGCCTGACACCACTAGGATCATATCTACAAACTAGTCAGGGGCCTGCCCCCCCTAGTATCACATACAAACTAGCCAGGGGCCTGTCACCCCTATTATCACATACAAACTAGCCAGGGGCCTGACACCCCTAGTATCATATCTACAAACTAGTCAGGGACCTGCCACCCCTAGTATCACATACAAACTAACATGGGGCCTGTCACCCCTAGTATCATATCTACAAACTAGTCAGGGACCTGCCACCCCTAGTATCATATACAAACTACCATGGGGCCTGTCACTCCTAGTGTCACATACAAACTACCATGGGGCCTGCCACCCCTAGTATCACATACAAACTAGTAAGGGGCCTGCCACCATAGTATCATATCTACAAACTAGTCAGGGGCCTGCCACCCCTAGTATCACATACAAACTAGTAAGGGGCCTGCCACCATAGTATCATATCTACAAACTAGTCAGGGACCTGCCACCCCTAGTATCATATACAAACTAGTAAGGGGCCTTTCACCCCTAGTATCACATACAAACTAGCCAGGGGCCTGTCACCCCTAGTTTCACATACAAACTAGCCAGGGGCCTGTCACCCCTAGTATCGCATACAAACTAGTCAGGAGCAGACTTTGTGTTCACATTGTTATATACCATAATACTGTTTTTTTTATCTCAGTCTCTTAACTAAACTCAAAGCCTTCACTTCTTCTGATGTTGTCTATAGTGAACTGTTGGATCTATGTGGTTGTCTATAGTGAACTGTTGAACTGCTGTGGTTGTCTTTAGTGAACTGTTG